TATTTGCAAAGTACTCATACTCCTATGGCTTCTATAGTCAAGTCACCATTCTATGATTGATTGTTGTGGCGAAGTAGCTGTTACACAGCTTGCATCACTCAGTATTGTCCCTACTCTTCCTGTAAGGCATTCCCAGTTTGAGAGGGTGTCAGTGGGCAGATGGGAAATAATGCCTTCATCTTCCTGCCCAGCATTACACACAGACACTCGAGAAGCTGGGAAAGGACTGAGTTTTATATTTTCTATAACTATTACTGCAACACTGCTATCAAGCATAGCATGACTGGACTACAGAGGACACTGATCAAGTGTGCTATCTCTATTTACCCCCTCACCTAAGCTCCAAAAAGGCACAAATTAAGAGCCCTGCAAGCACTCATATGCATGCATGCACACACTAATACACAAGAGTATTGCATAAGCTGTAAATTTGCTGCATAGTATCCCATTTAGTGGGTCCATATTTGCTCTTATGAGATTAATTCCCTCTACATTATATATGATACATACACCAGGACTTAAAGTTTTAACAGAACCATGTAACATGTGGATTTGAACTAATCTAAAATTGGTCAAACTTTCAATATAATATATTGAACAAAAAGTAAGCCCTCACCTGGACATGCTTACTTAAAAAAGGGTGCTGCTCTGACCAATTCATACAACATGTATTATGCAGCACATTTTATTCTAAAATAGATTTAAAGCTTAAAAAGATTTAAAACGTACAAAGATTTGGCGCTTAGAACATTTTTGCAACCATATATCTCAATAAATAATAGGGATTCTGTTACAAGATATGAGCATACATTGCATAAGCTTGTCACAGCTGCAAAGATGATGGATATCCTGTAGAGTGCTTTAATCATAACAGTGCAATCATTTGGTTAGGATCTGCCAAAATAGAATTTTCTGCAATGTTTGAACATATTTTGCAAATAAACCCTCATTATATTACCTGAAAAACTTTGTAAGTTTTAAAACGAGTTTAGGATGAATGCATATTGTATTAATTAGTTCCAGCAGCACCCTTCTGACTTATGCATATCCACAGCATTCACATGTGTGCAAACTATACATACATTGTTCACTGGGAGTCCACTGGTGCTACATGTTTGTCTAGCTACCTCCATAGTTTTTTGTACATTTCTTAAAAAAAAACCAAAAAAAAAACCTGCACTTTCATTAGAAAAAGAAACCTTAGCTATAAAACAAGAGTAGTAAGAATTTTAAATTTGCAATAATTCCTTTATGAAGTTATCTAAGCACAATTTCCAAAACTCTATCATGCTTTAATATTGATTGACATGATTAAGATTTGATTAATATAGTAAAAAGGAAATACCTGTTGTGTGGGTTCTTAAAGTTATATGCACCCCGGCACCAGCTGTCACAGAGCAGAGTTTTACTATGCAAGTGAGCTATACATAATTTGTGGTGCTAATTGTATTTAATGAACTTACATTGAAATTTCTATAGATTTGAGTGTTATGCAAAAATGAATCAACAGTGCACTCTTGTGGCATAAAGTGATAATAAACAATAAATCAACAGAAATATCTGAAATATTAAATAGTTAAAATTATTATCACCACTTCATACAATACAAGAACATTATTTAGTTTTTAATATAATTTGCATGTTATATCTATAAAATGTTTTTTGACAAGGGTACCTATTATATTGTAAATTAGATATACAATGTTACTCTTTTTGAGCAATTACAAAGTGATGGAGATATTGCTGGGTGTAAAATTAAATTTTATCTGGTTAAATTGAATATTGCAACTGACCGCAACATCTATACAACATGAACGATTATTAATTTTGGTGACCTGAATATTCTTTGCTTAGAATACCTGCTTTAAGTCTTAAAAAACAGAAGTCTTTACAAATGTTTGGTTTTGCTATGTAATGTACTGTTGGGCATCATCTGTTTATCCTTATGCAAAGGTCAGCACTGTGAGATTTTGTTCCCCTGTATTTCTCATATACCATGAGGAATATGCATATAAACAATACTAAAAAGGATAAGAGAGCGCAATAAAGTAAACTAAAATCAAACAGTGAGAAGCCAGTGCTACAATGCACGTAATATCAAAAAATAGTAAAAAGCTGCCAGATATTCTAAAAATTTTCCCACGTTTTCAAAATTACACAAAAATAAGATCAAGATAATATCAGCGCTTAGTAGATATTCCCTTATTGTCCAAAATTGTGAAACAGCATAAAATGCAGAAATATTACAATTAACATAAGAGTTTCAATGTCAGTTTATGGAAGGATATGTCCACATATAATCGGGTATTTGTAACTGTTGCCAGATCTTGTGGTTAAAGTCTGTATTGTTCAGTGCAACTTTGTGTCCCACCTTAAATAAAAAATACTGACATATCATAATTCTGTTACAAAAATGTATTCCCTTTAAATACATAAAAAAAAAAACATATGGGAAACCCTTACAAGATCACGTTGTGGAACTTATTTCTAAGTGCCACTATAAAAGCATAAGTAGTACAGTGTACAAGCCAGGATTAATGTAGTTACCGCTCCTTTGATAGTTGTTTACAAACCGGTCCTGTGCACTCGGACCGATATCTACCCTGGAACGCTGGCTGTCAGGTACTGCTGAAAATACTGCTAAAAAATAGGTGATACAAGACTGGATTAGTAATATTGCCTGTAAGGGGACTCAGTCCTTAACTGCCCCCATCTCATGATTTCCTCAGTATGCCAGATTACAGGGGAGAATTGGAGCTCCTTAGTAGTGTAATAGAAGCAGTCCATAGTTCGGCTTCCAACATGCACCTCTTGTTCTCACTACTGATCTTGTGTTGATGTTCTGCCTTTTACATGTGTCCTGAGTCTTTGGTTACTTTCTTCAGATTCTGACATCACAAAGTTGGGATTGAATTTATAAAACCCCACGTTGTCCATTTTTATTGAAGGAATTTTAACTTTAAAAATAATAAAAATGAACAAAAATCCAAAATCAATTAAACATATTCGAACTAATATATCATAGAAACAGATAATTATATAAAAGAAAAATAAGTGGGAAAATATTAAAACATCCATTTTAAATTGACATCACATATGAAATTCAATTTATAAAGTCAAATAGGGTGTATCAAGGTACAATACAAATGAGAAAGGAAAAGGAGTGTAAGGACCCCTTTCCAAGTGGAATTCCATTATAAAGAGTGTATATCTTTAATGTTCACCTCCCATACATTCCAGTGGAATGTTAATGATTCCATTGTGTTTGATTGTAAACGTAGGTTTAACTCATAGCTCTTGTTTGCTAGTGTCAATGTCAACACTTCTTTCATAACAGGTATCACATTGGATTTCCAGTAGCGTGGAACAACAGTGGTAATCACAATTAAAACATGTCCTACCATAGCCTTGTCCACCTTGGTAAAACTGTCAGGAACCAAGCAAACAAGTTCTGGTGTTAAATCTACCACAGAAGGATTGATATCTTGTATTATGGTATATATATTTTTTTCCAAAACAATTTGATATGTGGACAGTGCCACCACATGTGGGAGTATGTACCTGTTTGTCCACAGCCACACTAGCATAAGTTGGTGGAATCGGGATGCCTTTTTTGAAGTCTAGATGGAGTCATGTACTACCTATATATCAATAAATGGCTATTGGTAACACTGTCTTGAAATCCATTTCTCATGCTTTCATAAAATATAATTTGGCTTTGGGCCTAGAATTTACATTGGAGTAACACGATTAAATAATTTGTTTCCTATATTGGTCATCAATATTGTTTTTCTTTTTTTTTTTTTCAAAATTGGACTTCTCCAAATTAGCATATTTTTGATCAAGTGTAAATTCCTCAACCAGCTCACTTAGTTTGTTAACAATAATTTCATATTTGGGGACAACCAAATCATCTAAGTCATATTTAAATTTATCAAATGAGAGTAAGGAATTATTTGGAAAGAAATCGTCCATATTATTGAGAGAGTGATCTCCAGTAAGCCAAGTCAATCCCTCGTGCAACATGTTCTAATACGGATATTGGCATCTCTCTAGAACATAAATTAGTCACCTTGACCTCCTTGAACAATACATCCCTATGCCCTCAATGTTATCCTGGTAGTAGAAAGTATCTCTCTAAGTTTAGGATGCAAGTTGTGAAATAGCCATAAAATTACCGTGATTGAATGTGGAAGCAATATTTCCTTTTCAATCAATAACCACTGGAGCAGGTGTCTAGTTAAATTAAATGTAAAGGCTTGCACTGCGTTCACAGAAAAATAATATTTTCTGAAATCAGGCACACCCAAAACACCACTCTAAGATTCTGTAAAACCGACAATTCTATCATTATTCAAACTCTGTCATTGGATCATTCCTCATCATTCCACTGGAGCAGGTGTCTAGTTAAATTAAATGTAAAGGCCTGCACTGCGTTCACAGAAAAATAATATTTTCTGAAATCAGGCACACCCAAAACACCACTCTAAGATTCTGTAAAACCGACAATTCTAACTCTGTCATTGGATCATTCCTCATCAGTTCTGGGGGCAACCGTTTATCATTCTAATATTAAGAGTAAAACTCTCTGACATGAGACCCATAGCCAAGACTCTAGCAGTGGGATTCATAAAACAATGCAAATATTGCATCCACAAGTGGTGTTGTAAAGCCAAATTAAAATAAAACTCCCCATAAATACCTCCAGTGTATTCTATCAAACATAGACTTCTCTGCATCCAATGATAGAAGCAGAGAAGGTGTCCGCTCAACCCTTATCTGGTGAAAATTATTAATGAACCTTCTAGTTATGTCCAGGGTCTGCCTATCCAACACAAATCCAACTTGATCATTCTTTTTTTTAAATTCTTTATTTTGCGTTTTGTATAGTATAACGGTTTTACAGAAAAAATAGAGGGGTTAGTGCACAGTATTCACCACAGTTATACAATTTTCGGTACAAAACAGCACACCTCTTTTACAGACATGCAGTTTCACTGTTAAGGTGGTGATCCCCCTGGTGGGGATGGGGTCTCGAGTTTGTGTTGCCCTTGGGTATCAGGGGTCCCAGTGTCAGGACTGTTTCCTAGCTCGTCAGAGTCCTGTCTGCTTGAGTTTTTATTTATCTGTTCGTCTGGTGCGGTTGTAGTGCATGTGGTTCGGGAGAGGGTCCCAGGGTGGTTACAGGTGATGTGGTCTAGAAGTTTTCCCCGGCTTGTGGTCACAGTGGGGTTCCGCAACTTTCTGTGGTCTGGTGTTTGTCTCCCCTCAACGGTCTCTGTCCACCCCAGGTGGTGTGCTATACACGCGGTCATAGTCTGTTTTCTAAGGTGGCCATGCGGTGGTTGGTTGGGTTAGGTACAGTGTGGTTGAAGAAAGGGTCGGGTGTTCGGAGTCAACGCCGCATGCAACCAGGCAAGGTGAGGGGAGGGGGAGGTATGCTGCAGGGGCGGAGAGTGGGGTTGTGGGATCCAGGTCTGGCACTTGTACATCCAGTGGTCTGCTCAGAAATGGAAAAAAATGTGGGCAATACAAAAAAAGGATGTACAGAAGAGCCATAGGCCAAAAGTAAGAAAAATGTAATGCCTCACTGTCAGGAAAAAAATAAAAAAAGTGTTAGGCCTATTAAGTGGTGGGGGTAGGAAATTGAGGGTCTGAGATACTCACTGTTTAGTTACATGTATCCTGAAATATACATGTGTAAAGGACATGTAAAGAAAAATGGATAAAAATAAATAAAAAACATACCGACAAGAATGCTGTGTTTATGCAACCATAAAGTATTTTAAATCACAAAGGAAATAAAACATATCAGCAAGAAATATCATAAAAGAAATAACAATAAGCATTAGTTTTTCCAAAGATGATCCATCCATTCAAACTATGGAAAAACACTCCACAAGTGCCATGAAGGACAATCTTTGAAAAATCTTGAAATGTTCTTCTTGGCAAAGAGTCAACATTTAATAACAGCATACTTGGTAATCTCTGAAGAAATGCATAAATTTGACATATATAGCATTATAGTGGAGGAAAAGTATTTTACAGTCCAGCATATGAAAATCCAAGGAAATCTGCTCAATTCGAAACAAGAATAAACATTGTAAAGTATCCAAAACAAGTGCAAAATTCCAACAAGGGACATTGGACATTGGTCCATTTTTAAAGTGACAGATATCCTCATATGGTTAGCATGATATGGGGGCCATAACATAGCACTATATACAGTCAATGATAAATCAAAATAGTTTAAAAGTACAATAAAAATAGAAGAGCAAATTTATTCCATGAATAATGGTAGGGATGTAACATTTAACATATCTAAATTCTATATATATAACTATGTCTCCAGGGGGTAAACATGCCTACATCCTGGATTATATTAGAAAATGCTAAATATGTAAAAACATACACCTGAAAATTACCTTATCTACAAGTACTTAATCCTGTTATCTTTTACAAATGTTACTCAAACTAACTATAATAACAAAGAGACAAAAACTTTGACACACCTTAAAGGGAAACTCCAGTGCTAGGAAAACAATCTGTTTTCCTGGCACTGCAGGTCCCCTCTCCCTCCCACCTCCCAATCCCTGGTTGATGAAGGGTTGAAAACACCTTCAGGTCACTTACCTGAGACCCTGGCGATGTCCCTCGGCGGTGGTTTCTTCTCGCCGCTGCTCCTCCCAGTCATTACGTCGGCCAGTGGGCGAGACTGATCCAGCCCACTGTCCGGGGAGACCCAATGCGCATGCGCGGCAATGCTGCACATGCGCATTAGAGCTCCCCATAAGAAAGCATTGAAAATGCTTTTCAATCCTTTCCTATGGGGAATTGAGCAACATGGGAGGTCCTCACACAGCGTGAGGACGTCCAGCGACGCTCTAGCACAGGTTCTCTGTGCTATAGAGCAGGAAGTGCCCTCTAGTGGCTGTCTAATAGACAGCCACTAGAGGTGGAGTTAACCCTGCAAGGCAATTTTTGCAGTTTATAAAAAACTGCAATAATTACACTTGCAGGGTTAAGGGTAGTGGGAGTTGGCACCCAGACCACTCCAATGGGCAGAAGTGGTCTGGGTGCCTGGAGTGTCCCTTTAAAAAATGCATCAGTATAGATACTTCAAAATACATAGAAATACATAAATAGGCTCTATTTGCATAAACATGCATTGATAATCAAATCCTCTAAAAGGGCTACAGAAGTATAACATATAAGGATGTTAAAAAAAATGAAAAGAAATATGAAAATATTAATATTTAAATACTGGAATGTTACAAAGTGAAGAGAAAAAAAAACATTAAAAAAGCATGAAGTTCAAAGTCTACAATAAAGGGTTAAGAATGTTAAGCTGGACAAATCCACTGTGCTTATTCTTTATCTAATTCTTTTTCCAGGTCTCCCTCTCCAATGTATCCATACTCTTTCAATTTCTATAAGTCTTCTGGGTTTTGGGAATGGACCAAAATAAAGTCCTTTGTGTCAATAAACCCATCTTTGTGTTTCTAATGTGTTCACATAATCTTTTTTTTCCCCAAGAATATTTATGTTCATCAAATATATTGCTTATTACAGAGATATTTAACGAGATAAATCAAGCCAGTTGAATTACAGTTAATTAATGATTTAATCTTATATTCAGCTTTTGTTTCTACATGAAAGAAGGACTTAATTGGCATTTCTTGTGTTTTGTAAAAGTTGCATCCATAGCACCTTCCAAATCTGTGGAATCGTGTCCTTCCATTATCCTTATGAGATACATTGATGTTTACTTTTTAATAGTGGAGGCCAACATGGTCATTAACTTGGGGCCTTAGAGTATATAATTATTGGTGGTCCATTTAATAGTTCTGCAAGGATAAGGTTTCCCTTCAAAGCATTCAAGTGCTTCTTAAGTATCTTGATGTTATTGATTGCTATATCTAGTAACAAAGACAGGAATTTCCACTGGATTCTCCCTAATTCCACATTTGGTCTCTAACATGATATTCTTTGGATGCATTAGAGTCTTTCACCAGGAATTATCCTTTTATCGCCTCCATCTGTAACTTGAAGGTGCCCCATTTAATTTTATTTTCCTTATTTCATATGATGACTATTAGTAATTAATATATATATATATATATATATAATTATATAATTAATATAATATACTTTTTTTTTATAATATATTAAAGCTTTATTTATTTATTTTAAAGTAATAAAGCTTTTACAGTCCACAATATTTTTAAAAGTTTTTTGCGTTGTTGCCCATTTTCATGTAAATTTCAAGATCAGAAAATCTGACACGTTCTTTGGCTTGATTAAAGAGGAATTCTAGATTGTAGGGATTATAGCTCAAAACTTTTAAAACTTCAAATCTCAAAAGATTTCAGCTTAAAAATTTCACTTTCCAAATAAAAATACAATTGTCAGTTTATCTCCACCACAGTACTAGATCTGCGCCAACAGGGAAATTATCCCAAATAAATGTATCCCCCCCATTTGCCCGTAATTGAATTTACATTTTAAATTGCATGATATCTTTAAAAGTATCCTTGTAAGATTTTAAACCGTACCTTTGTTTGTGCTTGATTAATCCATATTTTGCATTTATCAGTCTTTACAGCAGCATTACTATTAAGAGAGGGTGTGTCTCCCAGTTGAAGTTGTTTCTCTCTTTATTCTCCCTTAAATTCAATTCCTAGGTCAGCATACGTTAGGCATACGTAAGCTGAAATGTGCAAAGCTGAAATGAGCCTCAACTTTATAAATAAATATATTAACTCCTTAAGGACTGAATGATGGTCTTTGCAATCATGCATAACTTTTAATGCCTGCTGACAGCACAGACTGTCATGGTTTTAAAGTACCAGCAGGGATAGATTCCTGCTGGTACCGGGAAGCTTCAGGAATTCTTTGAGGCACCTGAGGTATCAGTTAGTGGCCCCAGACTCTCAAATATCTGTGTGCAGCACTGAGAATGACCACTCCACATAGCTTTTTAAATTATGTTAAATTACTGAGACGAACAGTTATGTTCAGCTATGGGTAGTATTTTATAATCTGAACTTGCAGGGAACATAAAAGACCCTGATCAGTTCTCCCGGCATGCCCCCTGGCAACATTGATAGCAAAATGCTTAGCCGAGTGCCCAGTTCAGATCTGTGTGTTATTAGCCAGGAAAGCAAACAGCAGCTGCAGCGTGAGAGGGAGATTTTCCTCTAATGCTGAAATCATAAAGTACACGGAATGCTATATACTGTACAAACTGGGAAATACCTCTGCTGATGTCAGTATTGAAATTCCTGTGAGGCACTGTTAGGGTTTAATTAAGGGTTAGGTGGATATGGTTAGCTTTAGTGTTAGGGTTAGAGGTAGGATTGGGAGTTTGGTAAGGTTTAGAAACAGAACCAATGTTTAACGCTGCTCAATATGGCTATAGAGATAGTATGACTTTACTAAATTCCGTACCTAGTAATTAAGAAAAGAGGCATATCAAAGTTTTGCTATTGTAGCGAACTTACCCAATCCATGAGCCTATGCTGCTTCCCTCATTGGGCCACATAAGCCGATTGCGATTTATGTTGTAATATCTTCATGCAAAAAGTTTTGTAAAATGTTTTTTAACTTTGTAGCAGTTTATTATGTGATGTGTTGTTCATCTGAGGTTGCATTTACCTAATTTCCCTTCTAAGGAACAGCTGATTGTTATTATGTCCTGATATGTAAAACCATGGAATTCAAAGAGGATGTACTTTCTTATTTCCATGACTGTAATTGCAAATCTAAGAAAAATGCAGCTTTCCTAATTTTTTAAGTTTCATTCATATTTAATGTTGTATTATGTAGACACGTAGGGTATCAAATAAGTCCCTAGTTCTCCCTTAACAATGATATATAATATGATATGTATGTGTGCACATAAACAGAAAGGGTGAAATTGTGGTAGGATGAATGCATCTCAAAAGAGTCAAAAAGGCCTTGCAACACATAAAAAGATCTAAAGGGTTAAGTAATGATTTCATTTGTATCAGCTAATATAATAAAAATCTCATTACTTTTCCTTACAGTAACAAGGACCTTTCTTTCATAATATGTAAGTTCATCCCTTTGGCACACTCTAGTATACATATGTCTAATACCTCTAAATCTCCAACTTTTCAAAATTACTGATTCTGATTGATTGTCAAACCTGATACCCTAAAGATTAGTCTCCCACCACACAGACAGGCTTTGGAAATTGGAGGTACGTACCTCGGCCGTAATGAAAGATATTGGAAACG